CACACACACACACACACACACACACACACACACACACATAAATAAATAAAATTTTTTTAAAAAGAGATAAAAATAGGAATAACACAATTAAAAGGAAAGCAAAAACTTAAGGATTAAACAATGAAGAGGGGACAAAGAGAAAAGGTAGGAAACATGACAGGGGCAAAAGCATACATTTATTTGCACAAGATGGTTAAGGCAATGATCCTGAGAATCTTCGGCAGGTTTTTGAAACTAGCAGTTAATTGGTAGGATTCTCACCCTGACTAACTATATATTCTGATACTTGTGAACTAAGCAACTGCACTAACGATAGCAGTGTTTAATACTAGGGTCATGCTTAGAATGCCTGTCATTCTGGTCTTCTAAATATGTACTGATTCTCATGTCATACCATTTACTGCTATACTGTCTCTCAAGTAAATGTTTGTATAAAAAAGGGGGAGTAATAAATGAGAACAAGAGACAAGAAAAAAAATCATAGGACTGTCATAGGCCAAAATTTTACAACACATTTCCACCATCATCTCTAGCCTCCTGTTTATTATGGCAATTTCCTGCTGCCAAATACTGAATATCAAGCAGGAAATTGCACTGAGAGTTATCCAGCCAAAGAAAAGAAAGCCATTTCCATGGCCACCAGACATTCTTCCTAAATGCCTTAGTTACTTATCCTTCTTGCTGAGACAAAATACTCGACAACCAAATTCATTTAGCTCAGTTTGTGGAGTTTTCAGTCTGCAATCAGCTGGCTCCAAGGCAGAGTGGTACGTGGAAGAGGGACAGCTGTGCGTGGTGGCAGAAAATAGCAAGAACAACAGACAGATGGAGATGGGACTCTGCCTGTCCCTTATGTTTTATATCTAGAATATATCATATGGAAATAGGGCAGTGCCAAACCAATCAGTGGCCTTATTCCTAGCAGTACACACTCCAGATTCCGCCTAAAACTGCATAAGGTTTTTGAGGGGAATCAAGACACTAACCATAATGGTCAAAAATCTTTAGAGATTGTCTATAACAAACATAGAGCTTGAACTTCTCTCAGTAAACTTTAAAGTATGACTCCCCTAAGAATGAAAGAGGAAAGCTGCACATCATAGTCTGAAAACCAAAATCAGCTTCACAATTTATTTTACAACAGAACACATGTCAAATGCAAAAGGGAACAGGGCACTCCATAGGGGCAGCTGCGATGATGCCCTCATGTTGTGGGTCCCCAATGGCCAGCAGCAACAAGATTGATGTGAAGCGCACAGCAGGCTACCGCTTCCTGGCTGGTAGTTGGAGGCACCATGCTCCACAGGCTAGTGGCTCAATAAATATTTCTTTAATGACAAAGATGAGAATTTTGAAAACTTCATGCTGATGTGAGGCCCAAACAGGCACCTGGCTGCCACTGGAATTTCCCGGGAAGCCCAGTACTGAGGCACAGGGGATGGGATTTATACGTCAGATACTTCCCAATGCAGTGTTCGCCTTCTCCATGTCACAGGCAGCATGGACCATGATCCACAGCGACGAAGGCTTAAGGTTGCATGAAAAGCATCCCCCAAGCGTCAGAGGGCAAGAGTTTGCATATTCAATGAGGTAGAGCTTCAAAAAACAGGTGCTAAGATGGTCAGCGCACGCGCACGTGCACACACACACACACACGCACGTTGTCATTGTCAGCAACATCCCACCTCTGTCTGGGCAATCCAGCAAACTAATCAGTAGCTTTAATAACAGGGGAAAGGCAGGAACCTAGCAGGTTCAGGGGAATACAGCTGCCACAAGACTAAAAACAAATTTGGGGAAACTTGTAGCCAATAACAGAACAGGGTGAAGAAAGAATCAATTCTGGCCCAAAGTGAGCAGTAGAAGCTATCAGGGGGCGGGGTGGGGTGCCAGAGAGCAAACAGCC